CCACATGGAAAAATCTTCAAAAGGATTCGCAAAAAAATCAGTTGACCTAACAACTTTAACCCGATCATCATTTAGTGGTTAAATGGGTTCTTGTAAATAACCATATTGATGCATTTTGAATTAAACAAAACCGAAATACTTTTTACGAAGTGTTTAAGATCACGAAATCCCGACAGTTAAGTGAGGTTTATCGGTATAATAGTATTATTGAATCAAATTTTTTGAAAATAAAACTACAAAAAACTACAGACTATGACAACTTGTTTTTTGTGATATTAAGTAGATAATTTCATTTTGGACGATGTGGTTTTAGCAAGATGGTGTATACGCCCCATCTATCTCGTAATATACAAAGGAAAATTAAAAATATAAAGCTTTTATTTGATTGTGTTTTATAAGTTAATTGCATAAACTGACAATTAAAAGGACAAATTAAAAGAAAAGTAATGCTTTAACGTATAAAGAATTATGTTGGTAAATGGGTATGACATAAATATATAAATATTAGTTCAGATAATTCCGATTCCGATTAATATTACATTATTTATTTGTACAATAGTTCGTATATTTTTGTAAGTAAAAATTTTATGTTATGCTACATTTGTAACTACTTAAAGGTGCTGAGAGGAATTCAATAATCTTTCATCTTTCAATAAGGATTAAAATAAAACTGTGAAATAATAGTAAATTTCTCTGTAATATATTCTAGAATATTTGAAAGTATATACCTACAGGTAAAATAAACTGATTTCTACGAGTTACTACTATATATGTAAATATCTATAAATACTTTTACATATTAACCAATCATAAATTTTTTAGTCAAGGGTCTGAATCGATTAGATTTTGTCTCTGCACTAAATTAGTTACTTATTTAATTGATCGCATTAAGCTTCATACGCGTATTACTTACCCTTCTTTAGGCATTTACGTAGCAAGTAGAAGTATATCCCTCACGCGAACTGTAGCAGTATGACCGATAAGCCTCGTGTTAGAACACGACTTACTACATTTAAGAAGAACCAATATATGTCAGGTGACTGCAGCACACTATGTTGCGGGTTCTTGAAAGAAATATTGAAATATTGAATAATAACTTTTTACTGATGATGAACTAAGCATTAACTTCTTAAAACTGAATGCCGTACAAATAATTTCATTAATTAATTTACATTTTTTGTTTTATAAACGTTTAACGTATATATATAAAACGTACATAGGTGTTAAGGATGTTTTGTTAAATAGAAAAAAAAAACGAAAGAAAGAATTTCTAATAGAGGGAGAAATTTTGAAGCAATTAATAGAGAGTACATGTATATATAAATATATAAGATACATGTTATATATTATGTATCAATGTTTATTGTAAACGATATATATGAAAATGGCTGTGCTTATATGTAGGTTTGCATAAAATAACACAACATAGCTTGGAAATTTTTTCAATATTTGTTTTTTAAAAAAAAATATTATTGATTTATTTATAACAAATATGTTAAAATGATTAAATTATATACGTATGTATATAGTATAAATATATATTAAATATATGTGCGCATGTTTTGTATATACTTATATCAATATAAGAAAATGCTGCTCTCGTAATATAAGTCAAAATGTATATAGTTTTTAATTGGTATATATAATAAGAGATTACTATATAAAATCATTTTAAGAACTTCTTTAAGTTTCTTCATAAAAACTGGTCAAATATTTTATATTTTTAATATATTTAATAAAATATATTTATTATACGAACATACGGAGATAAGTTTATTTTAATGAAAACTCTAAAGAGAATTGGCATATATTTTATATAATAAAATATTAAATATGCTTAAAATAATTATTATAATTCATTTTAATTGACTTTCTGATATATATATTTTATATAATATCGAATAATAAAGTTTATGATTTAATTATATATATATATTTGTTTTATATGGTATATTAGATGTATTTAATTATAACGAAGATATATTCATTTTAAAGGTAAATCTATATTTTGCATTCGTTGTTAAATGAAGTGTTACTTACGTTTTAGTGATATACGTTTATTATAATTTATATACAAAATATATATATTTCTATATATATTATGAATATAATAATTTAGTATATATTAAATAGATATATAAAAATTAGTATAAAACATAATTATTTATATAAATATATTATTATAGTTGATCTGAATATTCAATATTTCAATAACTGGAAATATAAGAGAAAAAATATGTATATAAATATCAAAGATATATTACCCAAATATCGTACTTACTTACTGGGGACAGTTAAAAAATTTCTCAAAACAATATAAATAAGTATATAACAAGCTAATATATAATAATATATAATTCCTTATAATTCTAAAATATAACTTATCGGGGAAAACTATTTATTACGTTAAAAAAAAACAAAGTATGATAGGTTTTTGTTGAGTTGATCAAAATGTAGTTTAAAGATTTGTTTGTTTTTATTATTATTATTATAGAAAGACTAACAAAAAACTACGCAATAAACTATATAGTAATGTTATGAATAACAGCAATGGCAACTAAGACCTTCAGCTGAGTATTACTATTATAATATAATAAGGGGATTTCACGATATCGGTAATAGAAGAACATAGTAGAAATGTCAACTATTATTATGTTACTTAGTTACCGAACTTATTACCTCAGATTGTAAACACTCCTTATATATGTATTTATATATGCAAATATATTAATTTGTCTTCTGAATAAAAACTATTAAATTTTTTACTGTATTTTTAAACCATTTAAAATACAGCTCTTTGATAATACATATATGGATATCAACATACTGTTGAAAAATGAAGTTTTGAATATCGTTAGGTGCAAGATATAAATATTTTTCGAAATTATCAAAGTTAATAATATAAATTAATAACATTATCTAAAGCAATGTGTTTGAAAACCCATTCAAAAACAATTTCTTTGAGAAGTGTTTTCTAATATAAAAAAATCATCATTTTCTCTCGTTCAGAGTATATCACACTGAGGCATTCAAGGATTCATTAAAATAAATTATAATCCAATTTTTTACGCATAATGAAAAATAAAATTAATTTATAATAAATTAAAATTATATAGCGTAATGAAACTGTGATATGACTTATAACATCATTAGTTATATATAATTTCTTCTGATCTATTTCATTTATAGTTATTATATTTATTTAAATATAACAATACCTATACAATGACATATATCATTATTGCCGGATTATTGAAAAAATATCCATCATAAATCCTTTTGCATATGTTGACTTTAAACAACTATAGTCGGGGTTGACATGTAAATATAAACAAAACATAGATATAAAAAAAATAAAATTAAAAAAAAAAATAATAATAAAAAAATAAGAATGTATACCTAGTCGATGACGCGAAAAAAGTAAGTAATGAAGGAAGTGTTTTTTCAGTAATCCGGTAATCTCAGAGTATAAAATAATATCTGGGATATATTCATTATTACAATATTTGCATTGAACTGTCTAAATATCTATAAAAGTTCTAATATTATATGAATCTACAAAATTCATCACAATTATAATAAATTATTTATATCAACTTTATAAGAATTATAGGATGACTTTTAAGCAATATCAAGTGACTTGGGAGAAGCATTTAACCATAGACAACTTATATATAGACGTCCACCAATGCAACTTTAAAATCGGTAACAGATTTATATCTCCGACAAAGTCCAAGTCTTTTACTTACACATAGAATCATAATTTATTTGAAAAGCTCGACTTTGCACCCTCTGAGTATACTTTATACACGGTTTATTTTACATTTGGAAGAGCTTCACGTTCTCAATCTCTGTATGTGTGCTTTCATATATAATAAACGTGCGAATGAAGACACGGTGTTTTAGAACAAAGGGTGAATTTAATTATATTTTAGTTAGCATTTATTTTCCATGGCGTTGGACTTTAATATATAGGTTGTCTGTGATTTTATTTTTATTCGTTATATATTTTACAAAAGTTAATATACACACAATTTAATATATAAAAAGAAAAATATGCCTAAATATATAAGATAACTACTTACGTATATTTTATTATATTATAAACTTTACGTCTTTCATCTAATATATATATATATCATCTTCTAATATATATTTTGTACCTTTGTGGTTTTTATTTCGACTATAAATATAGCTCGTCCCCAGTAGTAATAAATTTTTAAAAAAAACCTTGAAAATTTGTTATTCTTTTAATAAATAAATAATATGCCGTTATAACTTATTTTAAAAATAGTAATAATTTTATTTTCATAAAATAATATTTATGTAATATAATGTATTACAATATTTAATTCTTGAAAAGTATATATAATAAAAATTAATTCAATAATGCATTAGGTATATTCATACTATTAATATCATTTTGTATAAGTTTAAATTGTTGGACAAATGACAAATATATATTGATAATGAGATTGTTTAATTCATTTGGCTCTCATATCATATATATATTTTTATAATTATTTTTTATTAATATATTCAGTTGATTGTTATTTACTTTCGATGTTCTTTTGTAAATAAATTTCATCAATTAAATAGAATTCTTAAAAAAAATGTGTTTTTATATATGTTTTTGTTTTATATGTATATAATTATAAATATATTTAAAAAAAAAAATAATATATTTAATTAGTTGATTCATACAACATTTATTTTCGTCTATTTAAAATTTTTATTTTATTTAACTTACACTAGTTTTTAAAATAATTTTGCAAAATTTTTTGATTTTGAAAACTGCATTTAAAATTTGCTCGCACAACTCCAATTCCTTTCATATAAATCCTGCTCTTTTTATAATTTGTATTGCAGCCAGCCATTTTAAGTTCATTAAATACATATATAGCTATATTTGATTATACTACTATATAAGAGTTATAAATATTATAACAATAAAATGTTAATTAGTTGTTATTATTCTTTTAAATATATATGTACGAGAAGTTTATAACTAAAAATTCAATATTCCTGGATAGTTGGTTTCCGTATTTAAAACTGTTTTATTTTATATATATCAACAGTACATAATAGACTGTTAATCGTTCTAAGAGTGCAGCATATATCGGGATTTCTTATTTAAGGTATGTATACTAATTGCATATATTATTAATTATTTGCTTATACATGAAAGAAAACATCTTAAATACCTATACGAAAAATAAAGAAAGATTAAATATAGTTATAATATAACAGATCATTATTATTCATATAATAATTATTATTGTTGTTTAGCGATAAACAAAAATTAATTCCAATATCGTACATTAAAGAAAAGGGAAACTATGAATGAAAATGGCAACCAACCCATAATGTATGAATTTTATGTTTGTTCATTTAACAGCATCTTTAGCATATGAAAAGAATAAATTTATTTATAATTTATTATTTACTGATTTGTATATAACGCAATGAAGAGCAAAAGTACGAAAAAGTTGTGTAAAAAATTTTTTTCTCTAAATAATCCGAGTTGTATATGATAACGATTTCAACTTCTCGGCTAACACTAATGCACATGGAAGAGTGTGAGATACTATCAAAATTTATACAAGTGTTTATTATTAAGCAATTCTATAAGTTCTAAATTATAGAAAGAAATATATTTTATTATTTTCAATATATAGCGGATAAAAAGTTATTAAAATTCTATAAGTCTTCAGCGAAAAAGAAATATATATCATTATTTTCAATTTGTAAGAGATTAAAAATATTTTAAATAATTTTTATTATTTTCAATATATAGCGGATAAAAAGTTATTTAAATTCTATAAGTCTAAATAATTCTATGTTCTATCAGCAATAAAATAATACATATCATTATTTTTAATTTGTGATGGAATAAAAATATTTTAAACAACTTTTTATGTATGTATATAATTAAATAGAATATATAAAATATATCACATAATTGTCTTTATATGCGCCATAATTAAGGATATGATTTAATATGTTATGATATATAAAACTTTATAATCATAAAACTTATCCGCATTAAATAATTACTTTAGTTCTTCTTCTTCTAAAAAGTTCCAAAACATATTAAATACTTCGTAAATAAACTAATAAAACAATTTGATTAAATATTCTTTATATTTTATCAATGTATGATAAGGCTAATCGTTCCAGTAATATTCAACTCTAACTGCTTTTTAGTAAACTGCTTTCCATGAAGACTTTTTGTTAATCCACACAAATCAATAATTTGATAAAAGTGGCTATATCAGTGGTACTTATATATGAGCTTTTCAAATAGTTTGGAACTCCAAAACTCATCGATGCACAGTTGAAACTGAAGAAGCAGATGGTTAAACAAAAAACTATATCTCTGCACCATATTCAGTTATTTCTATTGTATAAAAATGACCGACACGTCAGCTTTAAATGGCTTGTAAAAAAAAAAAGACTAAATTGACATCGAAATAAACATCTGAGTGTGTTTAGATGAAATATGAAAATAGTTCCATTCTTCTAATGATTAATAGGTGTCGCTTTCAAAACTTTTCAGCCAACATGTGCTATATAGATCAGTTAGATGCACATCTCTTATGTTATTATCGCAAGTGGATACAGCAATAAATAAATAATTCTCTAATTGAGGCTCAGGTACACAAAAGTGGCCATCTAATGAGGAGTAGAGCTATAATTGGAAATAGTGATGTTTATAGGTGACAAATAACGGTCGGACAAGTAGCTATATTCATACATCAAGTTAAAGCCCAGATACATCACAAGATCGCATTATTATGAGTGACAAATAACTGTTTGGAAAGTAGCGATATCAGAATATCAATTGAACGCAGACAGCATTTACTGCGATAAAAAGACGTTTTTTATTCTTAAAAATATGAAGCGGACGCCTTTTGAGAATCTTGTTGGATTGTAACAATGTTCTCCAAGACAAAACTACTTCGGTATTGAGTGATAAAAGCCCTTAACCAAGAACGATAGCATCTACGTCTCTGTACTACTTATCTATACAGACTACCAATTACGGGTCCTATCAGAACCAAAAACTCTTATATTATCGCGCATATCGATAATCACTTTTTGAATAGGCATGAGAATGAGCATTAACGCTTGAACTTACTCTTAAGGCTTGGTTAGAGTTAGTTTAGGAAATGTTTTTTTTTACTTGCGGTCAAAACTTACTTAAAGGTATATAATATGCCTACGATAGAAAATAACTTTATATATTCCTATTCATTTCATATATGTATATTTACGAAATATTTTTTAATTATGGAACTTTATAGTCTATGCAAAATAATTTCCAAGTGTAGAAGATAACATATATAAATAACAAATAAGTTATATATAGTTATATGCAGCAATATATTATATTTATGGCAATTTAAAAGAAACTAATTTAAAGTTTTATATAAATGAAGTTATTATAAAATTCAAAAAACGCTATAGCGCAGTGAAAATAATTTGTCTTAATATTAAATTCTAAAACATATGGTATTATAAATATATAATAAAATATATTTAACAGCTTGAAAAAATAACCAAACTGTTGTTAAGTGGAAAAATTATTTATGAGAATTAGATTGATTTTACACACTTAGAAATAAGGTTCTAAAAGATACATAACTAATGTTAGATGTATTAGTTATAAACACAAACTACGATTAAAACATTTATTAACCAACAATAGAAGCATGCAAAATATTGCACATAGAAAAAAAAGATAACTATAATATAGAAATTGACACTGTAGAATACCTAAACACTTATTTTTTTAAAACCCAATTTATATATTATAATAACTTTTAAATAACTTAACTTTTTTCTAATGGTTAGAAATGGTTAGAAATTATTGATATAGCTTTTATGTGCTATATCTATGACAAGAAGGAAATAGAACTTTCTATGTTCGTTTTTGCAATCACTAAATATAATTGCTGAATAATGTATTGCTATATAAATACATATAAAATTTGAATTTAATTCCAATTCACAGGTTTTTTATGCAAATCTTATATCAATTAAGATATCGAAAATATATTCCTTTAGGTGCTTGCATGATTAGTACTAGGAATAATAGACCAGCTATTTCTAAATACAACAAAGTACTGATAAACCAATTCGATTAGCTAACAAATATTAACAATCATTTTTACATATTATATATTGAAAGTATCTCAGCTTTTGTTAATTAAGGTTAAGTGGTACGCAAGCTTTTTATTTGTTTTAGATATGTAGTTTATACATAGCAACGTACCTGCCTGTTGCCAGAAAAACCTGCATATGTCATTAATATATATCAATGTTAAAGATATGCTTGCTTGCTGCTTACGTCATATACATAATTTAGTATTGTCGAGTGGCCTTTTTTACACCCCCACCATATGCACTTTTGTCATGCGTTGATTGCGTCTTTGACATATTCAAATTATTGGGCGAACCATACATATTTGCATAACCCGCCGAAGTTGAGCCTGTAGAACATAATATTTTCCATATAAGTCAGATAAAAGCGTAGTTAAATATGAGATTCTTATGTTTGAGAGGTCACATATAAATACCAATATATTAATAAATCAGATTTAAGTAGTTAAAGCAACAACCAAAATACACACCAATATATACATACACATTTTTATATGTAAACATAAATTAGAAAAATAAAAATCTCAATAATAAATGTACAATATATATTTATATAGGTCTACATTTTTTATATACTAACATTGCTGGTGTTAAACAAACTTCATATATAATAATTGTTAAAATATCTAGAACATACATTGGAATGTGAAGTTCATTAGGGTTACTTATTCTTGATCTATTTTTTTGTTGTTGTTTTTGTTTTTACTATGCATAACTTTATGAAAATATTTAAATTATGATAATGTACCATAGTTTAAATTCAGTTACTGCTTACCATAATTGGGAGCTGACGACACACTGTATGGATTCATGCGGTTAGCTTGCAAATTGCCAGCCTTTTGTGGACCACCATTATATGTTTGTTGGTAATCACCAAAATTTTGCGAAGCACCATTAGCATTCCAGCCATTAGCAGGCGGTGCTTGACCAGCAGCAGGTGCAACAGGAGGAGCAGGTGCTGAAGCTGCACCATAACCATTCTGACCCCAACCAGCTGGATTTGGATATGCTGCATTCCAACCTGCGTTACCATTTTGTTGTGGGCCACCGTAGGCACCATAAGCGGGGGGACCTTGTTGATAACCGGCAGCAGGTGGCTGACCATAACCTGGCCAACCGTTATACGCACCTGCTGGAGGAGCTGCTTGAGGTGGATAGCCGTAAGCTTGTGGATTATAAGCATTTGGAGGTTGTTGGTAACCACCTTGAGCACCAGGAGAACCACCGGGTGGTGTCATAGTACCTTGTTGTGCTAATTTTTTAGCTAATTCCTGCTTATAAACCGATTTCTTAACATCAACCAAAACGTACTTGATAGTGTGATTTTTGTGTACTAAATGAGAATTAAGTAAATATATGTTAATATAATAATAAATAAATATAATTAATAAATAATTTAAATATCAATACATATAAATTTGTATTTAATTTTTATGTTAAAATACATATATTTATATTATTATGTATATTAAATATATTTTATATTATATATTTTAAATATATATTATATTACATATTTTAAACATATTATATATAATAAATATATCTTATATACATTACATACATCATATATATTCAATATTTTTTATATATATTAAATATATCTTAGATGTATTAAATATATTTTATTTATATTAATATATATCTTATATACATTGTGTGTGGACTCTTCAAAAATATATAAATAAAATCTGGTCATTAAAACAATAAATTATATGAAATATAATTAACAGTATGGAAAATTCTCTTAACAGGTATAGTCCCAAAAGAAGCAGGCAGGTAATTTTAACGCGAACAAATTTCTGTGAAAAATGAATTCCTGCTTCACAAGTACACTACAAACCTTGTAGTAAGATAAGTTATTAATCGTAATATACAGGTATATAACTTTTTTTAAAACATCTTCAAATTTATATTATAAGATAATGAAATGTAGAGTAATCTCAATATATTAACCTAATCTAACTTAAATCTAATTATATAAAATTTAACATATCATCTATATATTAATAATAAAATATATAAATACTATATAATATATACACTCCATACTAAATACTAATCGATATATAACAGTAATCTAAGATTTTTAATTATAAAATTAATAAGTAATATTTTATAATACCTATAAGCTGACTATCTCTTTTATATCAAAACAAACTTTTCTACTCGAATATGACAATAACTCGCATAAAATAAGTTATGTATATTTTTGACTTACAACTCGCCTTTGTCCACTGCATCGTCAATCATCAAACCAACAAAGCAAAACCTCGTTTCGACCAGTCTTTGTCAGTTAAAAGCCTTACGGCGATAATGCCCGAATGTGAGAAATGTTCAGTCAAAGCTGTTCATCAGATATTCTTTAACCACTCAACAAATATCCTTGATAGAGGTGCTATCTCAGCTGCCGAGTTCAGGGCGGGAAAGCACGACTTTAGAATAACAGTTCTAAAAAATATAAAACGATAAATAAAATTAAACAATATATATAAAATAATTAAGTGGGGAAGCCCAAATTTAAAGAAAGTGCTTGACTTTTAGCCGTTTTAGAAGTTATGTTAAAAATGTGTACTCTTTTTACTTTTGTATAGTTAAATTTTCTTAAATGCATTTCAAATATACAATTTGCATAAAATAATAATTTTTAAGTGGCGTTTCGACTCTTAAAAATGGCGGTGAATTAATAGAAATTTATTCAGATAATGGCATTGTCTTTATGGACACTACCTGCCGCTGTTTTTAGTTTTGTAAGACTAATTTTGAATTTGTAACTCCGTAAAAACAATAAATATTTTAAAAATGTTTATAACTTAATTATTATATGTCAAAAAAAAACCCGAATACTTACTTTCCGTCTATAACGTGTGGCCTAGCAGCTTGAGCCTTATCAACCATTGTTGGTGAGGAATATGTAATGAACCCAAATCCTCGGGAGCGTTTTGTTGCCGGATCACGCATCACCACCACATCTACAACATCGCCCCACTGTCTGAAAAATTCACGTAGACCATCTTCCGTTGTTACAGCGGCTAGCCCACCAATGAACATTTTGCGTAAAAAGTCTTTATCTTCACCAGGTTGCTATATATGCAAATTATACAAATAGTACAAAATATTCATAAAAATATAAATAATAACGCATTTATTTATAATACAATTACTAATTATTTTGATTTTTATATTTACGCATACAAACGAAACGAAGTATTCATCGTTTTTACTTCGTGTTTAACATGGCGACGCCATCATATTTCTTGATACATGTCACCATATTAATTTGTTCCATAAAATTAACATTTATAAATTTACTCACCTCTCCACCTTCTTGCTTAACATTAAGTTGATATCCATTATTTGCGACTTTAGCCATTTTTGCACTTTTAGTTTTAAACAATCACTTGATAGTTATATTTAATACACGCGGACACAACGAACCACTATCGACTGTGTATAACAAGAAATGAATGCGGAAGCAAATTGTAGCCGATATCAAGCCGAAAAATTTTCGAACTGAACAGTGTTGTATTTTATTTGAAAAAATGTTTAACATAGAAAAAATTCACAATGCCTGCTGGATATAAAATATTTTTTTATGGATAAAAAGTAATAAGTTTTTTCAGAGTGTAAAAAAAATATACACAACTTACGAAAGAAAACATATTAACAACATTGCTCTTAAAAACTTCTTAAGTTTCAGCACAGCCACTTTCAAAAATTAGTCTATTGTGAATGTTCACCAGAATGTATGTAAATATATGTTGCAAAATTCTAGTCATCCGTTAATATCATACTAGCATTTCATTTACTAATAAATTCAAATACATAAACTAAAAATGAATTTTTATACATAAGATAAAAATGCTTACCATTGCCTTTATAATATTCATTATGTTTTCTGTTATTTAAATCAATGTAATTTTTTGTGTTTAAAATTTTAATATATCAACGCTTCGGTGCTTTTGGCAGATTTTATGTGCGACAAAAAAACAAATTTCAAAGTGAAATATTGGCAACAGTGTTGCAATCTGTCAAATGTCATGTTTTCGTAAAGACCAAACTTTATATATAGGTGCCGAAAGCACCTATTGTAAAAGTGCTAAATTCCTAAACAGAAACATTGTGAAGGCATATTTTGTGGTCAGAGCAGAGCTAGTTAATATTTTTAAAACCCTCCTAAAGCAATTACATATAAATAAACTAGTAATAGGTGATTCGACTATTTTAATTTAACAACTTTTATACTAGCGGCATGTTAACTAGTTAAATGGTTAATTTCGATTATTTACATTTTAATATAAAAACAAAAACTTTAGCTTAAGCGAATGTGAATTAAATTAATATTATTTACTATGTATGTGACATAGTGGAAAAACCCTTCATGGAAGGCAGAGTCAGAAATTTTACAAAGTTGGTATTTTGTTAAGGTGTTCTATTTTTACGTATGGGTAATTATATAATGCCGCGAGAAGAGTTAAAAAAATGAAATTAATTAAATTTTATAATAATTTTCTTTTTTAACGTGTTATTTGGTCAGTAATTAAATAATACACATTTTTAAAAATTGTTTTGGTTTTTTAAAATATTTTATTAAAACCTGTATTTCAACTATAGGCCTTTTCGGTGGCTCGCAAGTACGGCAAAAAATGCATGTTGGCCTATGTTGGCCACGCGAGTCATTGACATCACTGTTGCAATCTGTCAAATGTTTTGTTTTGACAAACAGCAAATCTTGTATATGTGCATATAAATCAAATATATTTTTATAAAAATATTATAAAATTAAAATGAACACGGAATTAAAAGGAATGGTAAGAATATTGGAAATTTAAAAATAAAACACTAAGATAAGTAAATTTTTGTAGGTACTGTCGATGTTGGGAGAAGAAAGCAACGTTTTGCAGCGGCCGAGGGATGCAAGTTGTTTCACGGATTTTTTAAATGTTATGAATGCACTCTAGAAAACACTTCGTTTCCTTTGTGGTCCATAGTTTGCGTGTATTTCTATAAAAAATTTTTTTAGAAAAACTTCAAAAATTATGTTTGTTTTATTAATTTTACGTATGTAAACTACAAATTAAATAAAATAAAATAAATGTTACTTGGTAATAAGTAACATAATAAATAAACATAATAAAAAATTCAATGTGCTTAATAATTACGATTTCTCCATTCTTATTATTTCTTCGTTACTTTTCAAGATTTTTCAAATTTTTGAATTCTGTTTGAATTTTTACTTCCTCAATTTTTGACATTTGATTGCACTATTCGTTGGAATTTTCAATGAAGGTTCACAATAGTTCGCTTATTGCGTTGGTAACATTTTTTTTTTTACTGGCCGATGTGATTGGCCAGCATAACTATGCTGGCCGAGGTAGAGAAAATAGTGTTGTTGTTTTGCATACATTGCGGCCAGTATAGGCCTGCATAGGCCAACAACTTGCTGTTTTTTGCCGTACTTGCGAGCCACCGAAAAGGCCTAATATTATATAGTTATGTATAAAATCATCGTCATCATTTATATTACATATAGTACCCTGATGATGACTATAAAGTATAGTCGAAATATCGTCTTAAATAATATTTTATAAAAGAACAAAACAACTTTTTATAAACTATATTATTTAACTAGTGACCAATTAGCCCGTTAAAAAACCAAATTATTGTTCATAACAAAAAATAAATTCAAATGTTTCAATTTATTGTATGCGAATCTGATTTTACAAACTAAGTCAAATGTTATAAAATAAAAAATTCGATCACTAATAACAAATCTAGTACTATATATTTAGCATATATTTAACATTTTAGCAATTTAGTTCGAGTTTTGTATTACAAACAAAAAGCGCAAAGATGACTATTATGAAAAGAGATATATCTACTTATATTAAAAATACTAAAAAAAATTGTTAACAAAAATTTTTCATTGTGTTCTGTATTAAAAAGAATATACCTATATTAAATAAAAATAAAATTTATTTAAGTTATTTATTATAAGATTTGTGTTGCATCATCTTAGGACTAAAAAACTAACAATAAAGAGATATATAATAAATAATAATAATAAATAACGATTAACAAATTATTATATAATAAAAGAAAAATATTTAATGAAACATTAAATTAAAAATAAGAATTTAGAATTGAAAATTCAGAATAGATAATTATATATTGCAAACGAGATATTAAGGAAGAAAAAAAAATAACAATTTTAAAAATAATAATTAAGCGGTGGAACGGATGATGTCAAGGTAATTTATTAATCAACAGTTTTTAGAAAGCTGCTACTCTACTTGCGTTTCCGATGGCACATAAAAGTAAATTCCATACTCTAACCAAATAAATAAAGAAAAACTTGTAGTGGGAGCAAAGTAAAATCTGGGAATAATAAATAAAAGAGAACTATTAGATCGTGATTGTTGTAAGCAATTGTAAAGGTAGTAAGGTTAAATATGTTTTTTTAAAAAAAAATATTTTAAAAAAATCTGAGAATAAATAAATCCTAGCAACACTTATAATTTATCGAATAAAATCTTTATCGAAAATGTCGACTTCTTATGACAACAATTTCCTTCCTTCATTACAATTTTTTCACTCGTGTCGTAAGTAGCTCGTGTGCTTGGTGTAGAGAATTTGTAAAAATTAACATTTAAATTGTGAAAATATGGCTAATCAAGTGAAAAAAGAAAATGGTTTACATAATGGAAACAATCACAATGAAGAAGATGTAAGTGTAATATATTTATTAATTTTTAATTAAAACGAAATTTTCACTAACTTTCGAGTTGGCGGCCATTTTGTAAAAATTTCTGGTATACATATTGTGAAAAATCAATATTTTAAGATTGTATATATTTTATTTTTTTTTGTATAGGAGGATATTACTGAACCAGAACATCTTCGCAAGTTATTTATTGGTGGTTTAGATTATCGTACTACCGATGATGGTCTTAAATCACATTTTGAGAAATGGGGTAAAATAGTCGATGTCGTTGTGATGAAAGACCCACGAACAAAGCGTTCACGTGGCTTTGGGTTCATTACATATTCGAAGTCAGCCATGATTGATGATGCACAAAATGCACGCCCACATAAAATTGATGGTCGTGTGGTTGAGCCAAAACGTGCAGTACCACGTCAAGATATTGATAATCCCAATGCTGGTGCTACGGTAAAGAAACTTTTCGTTGGTGGTCTTAAAGATGACCACGACGAACAATGCTTACGCGAACACTTTGGCGAATATGGCAATATATGTGAGGTTAATATTGTCATGGACAAAGAAACTGGCAAAAAACGTGGCTTCGCATTCATTGAATATGATGACTATGATCCCGTTGATAAGATTGTGTGTAAGTATTAATTTAAATATAAAAATAAAAATTTATTTTTTTTTCTATTTTCGGTTACGATATTTACAGCATCTGACAAATTGACAAATGATTTTTTAATAATTTGTTAGTTATTTTTAAACAAGCTGTAAGAGTAAGGTTGGCGTTTGCTTTAGCTATGTTATACTAAATTCATTTAATATTAGTTTTAACACGCAGCAATGCCACAAAATTTTATATATGAAATATTAAAGTACACAGTCTCAGCTCCGTACTAATTTTTTAATAATTTGTCATGGCGTTTCTGTACTGTAAGATAAATCTACGTGCAGGTATTATATTATGGTTGATTTATGTGTTTTTAAAAACCAATCATTAATTGATGAAAAAGTACTTGCAACAGTTGCTGTTTATGTAGTCATTTTTACTCTTACAATTTACATGGCAAAAATATACTTAAAATTGATGTATTTTGAAGAATTCACCAAATATTTTAACGGTTGTCATTTATCATAATTGTCTTAAAAATTGAGTCGAAAACATATTTAAATATTTTTCAAATTACTTCACGTAGCCTTTCATATGCTTAATTACTCATTACTCATCAGTAATATAAATAATTAATTTTTGCGGTTATTGAACTGAAAGTTGTATATAAATTTATTTTAAACGAAACTCATATATTTGAGGTGAATGAATGATGAATGCCTTATAAAAACTTGTTATGAAAGCATTTAATATTTTTAATAATATAAAATAAAATGTATACTTTTATTTATTTTTAGTGGAAAAGACACATTCAATACTTGGCAAGACTTTGGATGTAAAGAAAGCATTACCAAAGCAAGAAGGTGGTCGTGGTAATCAAGGTGGTGGTGGTGGCGGCGGCGGCGGTGGTAATGGTGGTCGCAATTCAGGTCGCGGTGGAAATATGGGTCGTGGCGGTAATATGGGTGGTGGTAATAGAGGTAATAATAATGAAGGTTGGGGCGGTAATAATCGCGGAAATGACAATTGGGGTAACAATAATTTTGGTGGTGGATATAATAATGGCGGCAATGGCAATTGGGGCGGTAATAATGCCGGACCTTGGGATAATAATAATGGTAGTAACTGGAGTGGACCTGGTAATTTTGGTGGTCATGGTGGTGGCCATGGCGGTAGTAATAATGGAGGAAACAATGGAAACTGGGGCAATGATTTCGGTAGCGGTTATCAACAAAACTATAGTGGTGGTCCACAACGTGGCGGCAATAATGGAGGTTTTGGAAATAACCGCATGCAACCCTATAGTAATAGTGGCAATTTTGGAAATAACAAAATGGGTATGTATTAATTAAAAATTACAAAAACGAAAAATTCATACATATAAAAATGTTAAAATTTTTTGGTCAATAGCCTTAGCGGGCAAGTTAGTACAGTATAGAATTACTACTATTCACAGTCCCAGCTCCGTATTTAAATGCTTAATATTTAATACGGCGTTTTGCGACTGTAAAAGCAAATTTTAGCAAGTATTATATCTATGTTAATTTATTTTTATAATAAATTGATGAAAAAGTATTTGCTACAAAAACAATTAATGCTAGTAGCTACAATTAAGTAATTCCACAGTTAACTGACACACTAACTGAATAAATATATAATTTTTCTTCAGTTTATTTAAACAAAAAGCTGTGAGAGTAAAAAGGCGTCGGCTTTTGCTATGTTATGCGAATGTTAATGAAATCCAATTCGTGGTAACACGCGGCCTCGCCACAATTTTGGATATATGATCTATATCATATAGCCTATATTATGAAGTTTTTAAGGCAGCACTACTTATATATGACAGGAAATATAAAAATACTTATTATAATTTTTTTTTTCGAGGGTATGGGAGCTTATATTTTCAGTTTCAAATAGATATTATAATTCTATAGAGTTTAGTTGAAATTTGTTAGATAGTTCCTTTGGCTAATAAAGTATCACATTTCTAGGTAATAACCAAGGTGGTAATTTCGGCGGTGGTAATCAGGGCTTCAATAATGGACCCAATATGGGCGGTGGCAATAATAGAAGATATTAAGGTGAGATTTTTTTGAACTTTATATAAGTTCTTACTAACATTAGCTTTTAATAGTAATTTTAAATACAAATTTAGTTTGAAATTTTTTTTGCTAAGGCGATTTAGTTTTGCATAGTATTCAATTTTTTAAGTTAAAAAAGTTTTGCAGATACACGTTCAATAGATTTTAATCAAATATAGTAAACGAAGGAATAATTTGATATGTTTTTTTAATAGAAAGTGTATTTGTGAAAGTCTAGAATAATTTTTTTTCTAATAAGTTTTGTATAATTCGCCGTTTTAAATGAATAATTGTTGTACTGTGATAAGTTATATATTCGCATTTGGCCATGTCAATATATACGCCAACGATTTGACAACAGATTTTAGTAAATATTAATATTCAAAGCTACTACTTACAGTAAGCTATATGTACGTCGGTATAGGTTACTTCTCGAGAATTTGAAGTTAAAGACTAAACATTTTTACATTAAAAACAACAAAAATTAGTTGATACGTCTACTACTATATAAACATTTGGCATAATTCCAATATCCCTAAGCTATATGCATGCCTTCTTTGTTCCATTAACTCTCAGTAGAGTATAGCGCCGAAAATTAAGTTTACAATTTTTTACATTAAAAATAACGAAAACAAGTGGAGAAGTAGTTAATATCCCATCTATTCTCCACTCTATCCTTACAACTTAATAATCTGTTCCACTCTAACATTATTATTACCTACTCACATCCTAACCCAGGTAAACGTCTTTGTAAGTTCTTGTAATAACAACAGTTTGTTTTAATTGTAGGTTATTTTGTTAGTGTAATTAATGTAAACGTTTATAACTTTTGAACCCGATGTCAGGGAATAAGCTTAACCGAACCTAAGCATATTGGAAAAATTTAATAATTTATATATTAATTTTTTAGTCATTTTTAATAAACATAAAATAGTTTTCAAAAATATATACATACATAAATTTTAATCGTTTCTTAATAAATAAATCTTCCGAATTAATATATACTATAACATCAAACCCTGATATAATTTATTGCTGTAATGACCAATATAGTCAATGCTAAATAATACATAACTTTTAAAAGCGAGTAGAGACTATAAACTATAATCAAAATATCGGAAACAGCTTTGTTGTTCCAACTGTTATTAATCATAATAGTTCTAAGAACGGCAGGGGTCTTCTACGTCTCGGAGTCACTTGTCGAGTTCGATGACCAAGTGCCGTTCACCACACTCAAAGGAAATACACAAGTATTTCCTTGTGGTTTACAACAACAATATAAAATATCAATTTTACTCGAATATCTATTGGTAAGTTGGAGTCAAGCCGGGGGTTGCCACATTGTTGTAGTAAAACTAAATTATTTAATAAAATAAATTAATACAAAAATCAGTGTTAGTAGCAGCTCGTACGATATTAATATTTTATATTTAGAATTTTTAAACCATTTGTTTTTATGATATAATTACAAAAAGCGATTTTTTAATTTAATTGGATTTCATTTCACTTACTAATAACATTCAAAAAGAAAAAAAAAATATATACATATATACATAAATATTTTATATAGATTTAAGATTAGTGTTTGCTATATTTTCAATAAATAATTTTCTTATTATTTATAAACATTTGTAGGTGAGAAATTTGTGGCAGGTAAAGTCCCATATTTCAAGCAATCAAACCAAAATTAAGTCAACTTATAAAACAAAAACAAACCAGCAGTATTTATCTCAGTTCAGTTCAGTAATCCAAGATATATGTGTATACATATATATAATAATATATATATAACATATACATTGAAACGCATTATAAGTCCATATATAAATCTAAAATCAGTCAGAAGCAGAATTTTGAAGTTCATGGAAGGAGTAATGCAATGTGTGAGAAGAGAAATGTGAAGTATCGATGAAAGGATCAAATACATTTAAAAGCAGCAGAAATTTAGAAATTTACTTATAAGCGAAGCAGCAGCTAAAGAAAGAATTGAATTATTTTTAAATTTAGCAGCAAAAAAGAGATAAATCACTTAAAAAATAAAAGTTTTTAAAATTATATTATATATGATTAAAGAAACAAAAAAATGATAAGCTAAACAAATTTAAATTAAAAATCAATTAGTAATTAGTAGTATTTTAAAAACATGTAACAGTAAAAGTTAAGTACGTTTAAAAGTGAAAGATAAGAAGGAAACCTATAGTTTTAAATTTAACAACCACCAAGCAACTAGCAGGTTCTGTTTAAACCTCTATTTTTAGTATTAAATATAACCAAGTTTTCTTTTGTAATTATAATGATATGATTAACGTATGTAACAGGACTAATTTTTAATATGAAAACGAATTGCTAAAATGATAGATTTCCTTGTAATATTGTATTTGTACATGTACTAGAATTTTCACAAGTGACTCAATAGAGTTTTGTATTTTAACAAAATTGAAGTGTTTTATTTGCTGTAAAAAAATTGTTCACTTATTTGTGTACTTTTTATTTTAAAATAATTAGTCTCAATGAGTTGATGAAGTAAGAAGAGTAATAAAGTAGTAAGTTGCATTTTTTTTTTTATAGTCAACTCTTCCCAGTTATATTCTACTTTTATTAGCAAAACAAATGACAAAATCAGCAAATATATAGATAATTTTAAAAACATACTTTGTGCTCAAAAAAGAACGAGAATTTTTGAATTCCCGCGCTTATCCAAACGGTAAATTTTTTTATTTTCACGCTGGCAACACTATTATACACATTCTGTCAAAGTTTTAAGTTTTTGTTTGGCGTCCCAACAAAGAAGTCGAAAAATTTTCGTGTGGCGATTTTTATAATGGATCAAAAATTAGAACAACGTACGTACATCAAATTTGCCGAAACGTTGAAAATGTTAAAAAAGTCCTTTATACGAATGGTTTAAAAGGTTCAAAGACGGTCGTACAAGCTTGGACCATGTTGAGATCCCTGACCGCCCAACAACTTCTGTTACTGAAGAAAACATTGAATCGACGAAGCAGATCGTGTTGGAAAATAGTTGTGAACCGATTAGAGAGATTGCAGTGTTGTTGGGCATCTCATATGGTTCGGCCGAACACATTTTAACTGATGTTTTGGGTTTGAAACGCGTCGCTTCTCAGCTGGTGCCAAAAAAGCTGAATTTCATTAAAAAAAAAACGTCGTTGTGATGTGGAAAAAGAGATGATTTCCAATGCAGATAGTTACCCCACATTCATCGAACGCATCATAACTGGTGATGAGACATGGATCTATGAATTTGACATGCCCACAAAACAACAATCGACCGAACGCCAAAGTCGGTCCAAAATCAAAGTTATAAAATAAAAACTTGTATGAAAAATTGGATCAAGCGCTGGCATGCATGTATTTTAAATTCTCGTTCTTTTTTGATCATAAGGTATATGTGTATGTTATATGTAAAAAATACTTTGATAATTTTAAAATTGTAACAGCGACTTCAGATAAAGAAGCCAAATTAGAGCACATAAGCAACTAACTTTTACTTCAATACTTTACTTTTAAGACAGTGTTTATAAACAAACAAAAAATATATTTAAAATTAAAAAAAATATGTAAACAGTAGTTGAAAGTGTAGTTTTAAATATTTTTTAAATTATATGAAGTCGAAAGCAGCAATCTCTGATACTATAGATGTTATACTATTATATACCAGCAGTTCTCGTGTAATATTAAATGGATTAGAACTTGCATAAAACAGTGGAAAATCGAGACTCAAGAATTAACTCCAAATATCCTTATGAGGGAAATAACGTTTGCATACTAAGAGATATACTAAGAGATGATATTAAAGGAAGAGTAACAGACAGTGAAAGATACAGAAAGAATTTAGTATAGCATTTTCTGTAAAAACCAACTTACCAGAAAAGTGTATATATTGGTGACCAAGTAAAGACTACAGGATATCTTAAGCGTAGCAGCAATTATTGGTAAAAAAATGTCTTAAGGAAACAGTAAAAAAGTTGTGAAATATATTTTTAATTTCAGTTTTTTTTTGTATGTTTTTCATGATTTTTCTTTTGAGAATTGAATTTTTTTTTTGACCCATTTTAATCATATTCTAAAAACTAATCAATTCTCATTATATTTAATTTATTTAAAATAAAAAAAAAACAATTAAAATAATTTTATTAATTTTTATTACAAGTTGGCTGAGAAATAATTGTAAAATCCAACTAAAACCACCGAAAATTCTCACTTGCAAAACGTTGTTTAATGAGTGATGATTGAGTGAGCTCTTAGTGCGGGAAAGAATTGTACCGGATACACTGCAATCAACAGGTAAGTCTAAAAACTTCTCATTCTGCAGGTGTAGAGTGTATCAACGTGCCTATACAGTGAAATCAGTTTTGCAAGGTGATATTTGATTTTTTATTTTTATAATTCGAATATATATTTATTTTAGTATATATTTTTATAACACATATTTTATTTTTTTTTAATAAATAAATAAATAAAGACAAAAACTATATATTAAAATTGTGTTTAATTATTTATTTATAAAAGGAATTATTGGTCTTTCTTGTGTAAATGGCATTTTGTTCTGGAACAACGACTTCGCTTCTCTTTATTCTAGATGATTTATTCTAGAGAACAAAAAATAGAAACTTATTTTAATTTATAAACAAAGTTTGAAACACTTTTTCCTAAAGAAGGACACTTCTTTCCTTTACCTCATCCTTTTGACACCCCAACCACATCCCATCCTTTTGATATAGTAATAACAGCCTTTAGTTATAATATATATTTAGCCTAAGCTGATCTTATATAGTGCGTACTAGTTAGCTCTTAAAATGCAAGTAGATTTTCACTGATTGTTATTCGTATCCAAATCCATTCCTAAAAATTATTATTTACGGATATTTGGTACTGTTATCTCACATGCATTTAAAGAAAAAGATTAGTATAGCTAAAAAACTTGACGGATAAAAATTCCTATCAGATTAGAAGTTCGACAGGGTCCAAGTTTAGCAAAGAACTTAGCAGTTAGCGGTTTCAACTTATTAGGAACATGTTCAGGACCATGGCATTGATGCTGATAGATCATAGAATACTGGACAAATAAGCTAAAAGACTGGGTCTACTCTATAATGACATTTGTCATAGTTATAGCTTTGAAGAGCAGGAGGTCAATGTTAAGTTTTGCGAGTATAAGATTAAAAAGCTTTGGGACATGTTTTGTTACCAACCTGATAGCTGTCATCCTGCAAAATAAAGGGACTTGACCTGACCAAGTTCATAGAATTTTTAGATTTTTTAACTTTCACTTGAATGGTGGAGGTGTGTATTTCAACGCTGTCTGTATGCTGACCATTGAGGTTTTTCTGGGAATCCATTTAGGTTGGTATACTTTCATTTGATGGGAGAGACGTGCATTTCAGCGTTGTCAGTACTCTGATCTCTGCGGTTCTTTTGGACGTTCTTCTGGTGTGTGTAGGAACAATGCTGATTCGTAGTATTAGAAAGAGTCATTATTTGAAGATTTAATGTAAGCTATCAAGCTATTTGACTCGTTAACGTAAGCTATTAAAGAAAGTAGAACGCTTCTTCTATATTTTTGAGAAATGAAAAAGGCGGAATAGAATATTAATTCAATTATTAGGTTTAACTATTTTAACATTTAAGGGTGACTATACATTGCCTGCATATGTTACATTTTTGAGTAATTTTTAATAAATGCTAGTTATGCTCAATCGTTTGTTTGCTTCCATCATCCCCGTCAAGTAAAAAATCAAGCAAGTTTGTCTGTAATAAGGGTGAATGCTCTACTTAACGATTAAATTGGACTAAATTGAAGATGTCTAAATCAATAAATTGATTTTATTTAAAATTTGGACATGGTGATGCGCATGCTCAATCGTTTGTTTACTTCCGTCATCCCCGTCAAGTAAGAAATTAAGCAAGTTTTTCTGTAATAAGGGTGAATGCTCTACTTAACGATTAAATTGGAGTAAATTAGAGAAGTCCAAATCAATTAATTGATTTTATTTAAAATTCCCTACCACTTTATGAGCAGAATGATAGCAGAAGGAAGAACGTTCACACGCCTCCGCAAACAAATGCCACTGAAACTTTAATGTGTCCGACTCCAACAGACGGATGTACTATTGAGCACAGTCCCTTCAAGCTCACAAAAAATTTAAAGTATTTAGTCACTTTTAAATATTGTTTATTGTCTATTCCGAATTGACATAAGAAAATAAATTTAAAAAAAATTTTTAAATTCAGACAGACATGGTGTAATGAAGACCCATACGAAATGAAAGAAATCCCTACATAATTATGTTACATATATTAATATGTGTTAATATTTTGGTTAAGTTAAAGGTAAGAGGTAATGTATTAAATTTGGTTAAGGTCTGAATTCACGTCTGAATGACGTGAATAACAAATTAAAAATTTTTAAAATAAAATGGTCCATGAGGACTTATTACTTATCAAATGAGAGCTGTTTTACATAAAATATAAATCAGAATTAAATACGTAAAGTTTTTTTTAAGCCTGTCATTACTTTTCGAGATGATTCCTTGAATCATGAAGATGATAAAAATGTACACAACTGTTGGAACCAGTCCTTTATCGGAAAGAAATTTTATGCTTAATTTCTCAAAACTAATTAATTGAAATAATTTATTATTATGTTGAAGCTATTGGAGCCAGTGTACTTGAGCACCAAATAATTTATAGTACTATATATATTATACACTTGGCAGAAAAACTCTGCGTACAGAAAGTAAATTTTGTTTCAACATATAAAAAATTACTAAATAAATAAATTTTTTAAATTAATTTTATTTTTTATTAGTACTTTTATTTGTTATCTTCATTTTAAGGTAAAAATTATTTCTAACAGATTAGTAGAAAAATTATAATAATTAAAAATGTAAAAAATCAGCGCTATCGGTGGCAGAAAAAGTCTGCGTACAAGAGTTTAAAAAGCGTCAAAATATATTATTTTTTAAAGATTTTACGTTTTTAGTAACTTGTTGGATAACCTTTCCTCTATAAGTCGTTTTGGTATCGAATTGACCAGTTTCGCAGTCTCATCGCTGCTTATTTTACCCCATTCCGCGTCGCTCACGTTCTTCAGCATTTCTTTGGAGGTTATATTGTATTCATGTACCCGACGCTCCAATAAATGCTATAAATGTTCTATAGGATTCAAATATGGCGATTATGATGATGTTTTGATTTGCTTGGGGACATTTTAAAGCAACCAAAGCTTCACAACTTCTGTCGTGTGCTTTGGGTCGTTATCTTGTTGAAGTAAGTAATTATTCTGTAACCCCAACTTCTTGGCACTGCTCTTTAAATTGCATTCTAAAATTTTAAAATAATCATCCTTATTCATTATCGAATCAATGAATTTAATTTTTCTCACTCTATTACTCGCCATACACCCCCGCACTATTACTCCTCCACTACCGTGTTTTATTGTTGGATATAAATCTTCATTATTAAAGGCATTACCCGGGATTCGTCATATAAGTGTTCGACCTTTGATGCTAAAGAGACCAAATTTGCTTTCGTCTGAAAAAATTATGCGTTTCCAAAATTCTGGAGACTTTTTTAAATACTCCCTTGCGAATGCTAAACGCTTCATTCTAATATCTTTGGAAATAAGCGGCTTGCTTCGTGCAAACCGGCCATGGTAGTGGTATTTTTTTTTAATTTTGTGTACAGTATCCACGTAAATTTGCTTCTGAAATGTCTGGTCAATATATTTTTATAACAGAAGTCCAGTTAGACTACGATTATCTTTCACAGAATTAATAATGCTGCGGGTTTCTCTTGTTGACAACTTGGATGGACGCCCAGATCCCAACTTTGAGGTCAATAATCCTGTTTACTTGTAGTTGTTCACTACTATTTGGATAAAAGAATGTGAACGCTTAACGATTTGACCAATTTTGCGATACATTTTCCTTTTTTTCCATAGATCAATAATAATACTGCTCCCACTGATAATAATTTCTTTTCCTTTATTTGCCATTATAAATTTAATTACTTTTTAATTGTTAAATTATAAAATAAGTGCGTGGGATTGTGTATAATGATATACTGGTACAGTAAAACATAAAGCACGCCAAAGTTCTACTGTTAAAACTTCGGGAATTCCCCTTTATATGTTTTGTACGCAGACTTTTTCTGCCACCGATAGCGCTGATTTTTTACATTTTTAATTATTATAATTTTTCTACTAATCTGTTAGAAATAATTTTTACCTTAAAATGAAGATAACAAATAAAAGTACTAATAAAAAATAAAATTAATTTAAAAAATTTATTTATTTAGTAATTTTTTATATGTTGAAACAAAATTTACTTTCTGTACGCAGAGTTTTTCTGCCAAGTGTATATAGACTTCCTAAATTCTTATTTGCTTTGGAAAATTGTGGCAGATGAAACTATTGTCAAAAAAATTAAAATAGTCGCATGGATAAAGGAGTTAATCTTCTTTAAGTGTAAATTTTCATGAAATCACTACAGATTAATTACATTTAGCTCATTTTACTGAGTTGTAAATGGACATGAAGTAAGTTTGTTTCTCAAATTCACTTTTTATTATAATTTGTATATCTGTTCTTAAACCCTCTGCATAAAAGACTTTCAAAGCTCTTCTAGACGATAACGATAACAATACGGATATATATATTTTAAAAAATATAGTTTTATATAACAGTAATAGCAATTAAAAGCATATTAACACACAAGAATGTTTTACAAAAATTATTTCGTTATAAGTTCATTCAGTTATAGAACTCTATACGTAGGGATTTTCAACGAAGCACTTTGTGTGAATATGCGACTATATGAAACTATTGATATTCAAAAAATTCCATAAAGTTTAAAAAACATTTTATATAGAGAAAGAATAAACAAAGCTAATATATAATCATCCTTTCTGTGGGACCATCTTCTATATGTAGGAGAATTAATTATTTGCGAGAAGATATGTTAAAATAATACAAATAATAAACGCTGATCTTGATTCATATATGTATAAAGAGTTATTACACCTGCAAAGCCTATAGTACTTATTGATCTAATATAAAGAATGTATATCCAATAATTGCTCATATACAACATATATTATTATTTCCGTTTTTCTAGAAATGTTTACAAATCAAAACTAAAAACATTAATATATACATTAAAAAAAAATTTATTGAAGTCTTATGTATTAAAATTAAAATCGAAATACATATCATTTTTTCACGATTATTTTTTAAATGTTCACTTAAAATTACATTTTTCATGGGAAATCTGGTCACACTTTTTATACTATAAATAATTTGTTTTCTCCTTATTTTGGTGGTGGCCCATTAAGCATAGGTGGTCGCACACCCAACGGTGGTGGTGGTCCCATTAGGCCCATAGGTCCCATCATCGGCGGCGGACGCATACCCATCATTGGTGGTAACATCATAGGTGGCATTCCCGGTGCCGGTAGACCAGGCCGTGGTGGTGCCGCCATATTTGGTGGTGGTATTGAAACGCCTGGTGGTTTTGCTACACCTGGTGGCACTCCTGGAGCAAATGGATTTTGTGTAATTTTACCCGCTTTAAATGCTGCAGTAGTTGCGTCGATGAGGAATTGTGCTTGCTCTTCCATCCATTTCTGGTAATAGAATTTCACATTATCGCGATGTTTACGTCCGGTGCAATGTGTTTTACGTACTGACGGTGAATCGTGAGTCAGATACGTGTCACAATAATCGCAATAGTATTTAGGCATTCTTGGATTAAATTAACAATTTTAAAATTCTCACTTATTTACAACTTTTACAAATGCAGACAAATATTGAAGTTGACATATGCTTGACATTAAGCAAAATATGCTATTTACATTGAATGGATGATCAGAGTTGTATTTATTTTAAAATATTTTACTTGTTTTCTAAAAAAATGTTAGATCAAACTTATTCGAGTACTGAATGATAACTGCCTGTTTATATTGCTTGTTGTCTCTCGCTAAAGTAAAAAATTCGATTTATTTTTACTTTGATATGCTTCTACCTAGAGTTGAAACTAGTGCTGAGTTACTTTTGGTTTCTGTTTTTGTGTACAAAAATAAAAAACTGATCTACATATTTACCTGCACCAACTCTAATATATTTTGTAAGAAATAACAAAAACAACAAACTTATATAAAAAATTCATTTTTAATTTTGGTTTTTAAAAATATCAGGTAGGCCAGCGTGAGTTATTGGACAGAAATGCTTTATTGTGATATAGTAGTAGTAGTATTTATTTTTATTTATTTTTACTTCATTTTAAAGTTGTTGTATTACATAAAAATTAATAACAATTATATTATATATATAAAGCTATGGCATTTTAGCCGTCCATCGATATATAAAAAAGTTTATTTTCAACATTTCACATATTATGTATATCATATTATATCATTCCTATATGTATATAATTTTATTTCCTTGAAATAAGGATTTAAAAATTTTCTATATATAGTAAATCGTACTAACAACAGTAACTACAACAAAAAATCTAAATTTTATTATGCGCTTACCTGTGTGATCATCGTAGATCATACATCTTATTAAAATATTTTTGTCAAACAATTATGCATTAAGGGACATAACTAATTTTAAAGATTTTAATTTGGAAATTAATTTAGACTACCATTAATATTAAAAATAATATATTTGTCTTTGTCTTTTCTTTGCTATTCGAATCCGTCTATCTTTTAAATAGTTTGTTTTCGTCATAAAGACGCGTCACTCAAGCAAAACATTTAAAAAGAAAAATAATATGTTTATAAATGCAAAAATATTGTTAAACTTTTATATATATTATATTATATATTAAATTTTCATCAACACAACTTAATACAAATTATATATATTAAAGGTTATTTAAAATGTAAATTTGTTATTTAGTAAAATGTGATAAAATAAAATAAAATAAAAAAAATAAAAAAAAAATAAAATAAAATAAAATGAAATAAAATAAAATAAAATAAAACACGAACAACCGGATAACTTTAGATTCTAAAATATCTGAATAATATGAACAGCACTAATGTTTATGCAGATATTCTATTGCGTAAATAGCGGGTGGCATCACTTTATTTAATTTAAAACAGCTGATTGAATGTTTTTGTGGGTGTATCATTAACAAATTGTTTTGATACAAATTAAGAAACTTATTAACGGAAATAGTTGCAGCAAGCAACAAATTTGTAAAATTGTGATAATATGGCTGAATTAAATATTACAACATTTACTTACAAATATAAAGGACATGATGGGAAAGACTTAGAAGTAGCTCTTGATATTACCTTGCCGTATGAGAATGAAAGCTTGGAAGAGTTAGTAACACAACTATTGGGACAAATGGATCCTATGATGCGATATTTAGATGAAAACGAAGGTAATTAATATTTAAATTCAAAATAATAAAATTGTTTTTATTTTTCTTTATTTGTGTAGCACTTGCAGTATCGTTAAAAAAATTTATTGATGAGGAAAATCAAAAGTACTTGGACAATTATGCCGCTAATCTAATATCAAAAGTAAGTAACGAGGAATTAGACTTAGAAAAGGTTATACGTGACGTAGAACGCCACTATAAGGAAGAACTAATACAATTTGCAGACCGCATAGGTCCAACAGATGAAGACATTTTTGCGCAAAGTTTTCACAGGTTAGTAATTTACGCTGTCATAGATTTTTATAAATTTTATAAAGCAAATTAAAGATTAATATGCTTTTATTGTTGTTTATAGATTGGTCCATTCATCCTCATTAGAAGAAATACTCAAACGTGAGCGTAGTTATGCAAAAGTGATTGCTGATATGACGAATCAAATGGACTTAGAAGTAGAAACGTTAAACTCTTCACATCAAGATGAAATGGAATCACAAATTAATCAATTAGACATAACTACAACTTCGGAAGTAAGTTAAATAATGAAATCAGTTATATAAATTTAATATAGTGGTGTTTTTTTTTTGTTAGGATATAAATAATTTATTAGCTCAACAATACTTGACGCAAAATTATGTACGTCAGCGTTATGAATCTGAACTACAAGCAAAAAAGGGTCATCAGAAAAATGAATATCGTAACTGGATAACAAGTCAGGTTAGCCAAATATTTCAAACATCACCAGTGGCTACACCACTCGGAAATCGTTCGTCAATGTTTGTGTCGCAACAACCGTCAATGGAGGAAAGCTTTACCATACATTTAGGTTCACAATTAAAACATATGCATAATATAAGAATTCTCAGTGCAAATGTTACTGACTTATGTAGTCCTTTGCACATTGATGAGAGGTATTAATATAAATATAATAATTCAAATAAATTGTCGATAAAAACAATTATTTCAGCCTCAATGGTTTAAATATGGCTTTGGGACTTTATTCCAGTTCACTTTGTGGTGTTGTAGTATTGACACCATCTCTACAAGCACAGGTTAATAAAAATATTATTAAAAATGCAAATATGTCTACAGAATTCCATTTTGATCAGGTAGGTAGTTTTGTTTATATATCTTTTAACTATTTATAATTCAAGCGTTTATATTCCAGATCGATGATCAGTTGGAAAAAATTGAAAAAGAAATTCATATTTTAAATATTGATGATTCGAATACACCTAGTACAAATAGTACGATTAGCACCGAAATAACGAGCACTCCAGCTAGTAGCATAAGTAATGGTAGTCTTAATTCTACTCCTACTAAAACTTCTAAAAATAAACTTAAAACTGGTGATTTTTTTATAACGAAACACTCAAATCTTTCCCAGTCACACGTTATATTTCATTTAATATCAGACGAACCCGTCAATAGTACAAGTGACATTAATTCCAGACATCCTGTCATATTGGGTTTACGCAACATCTTAAAAACTGCGAGCAGACACGATGTCACTACTTTAACAATACCCGCTTTGCTGCGGCACGAAATGTCAGAGAGCATGACAGTGCAATGGTGCATGCGGCGTGCAGAGTTAGTTTTTAAATGCGCTAAAGGTTTCATGATTGAATCCGCTTCTTGGGGTGGAGCCGAACTAAGGTATGTTAATAAATTCCAATATTTGACATTTTCAACTTTCAAATGTTATGTTGTTGTTGTTGTAATCCGTGAAAATCTGCGGGTGTACTCTCTATTGGGAATTGTCGAAACATGAGCATCGAAATTGACAGGTGGCTCTGGTACATTGACACGGTGTTCTTAGAGATGTGATGTAGTCGGTGTTAGTTCAAAATTTCTTTGATTTAGTCTTAGTAATACTGCATTAGGTGATCTCTATAGATTCAATTGTATATATTGTATAATATATTATAATATATTGTATGTTTAAAAAAATTATGTCAGTATTTGATAGTAGCTATTTATAACAATAGCTTTTAATGTATAGCAAATTTGGTTATTGTATATAAAATAATATACGTAAATAAATGTAAAAAAAATTGAATGTAAATATATAAATATTAATTTTCACTATACTCAAATACTTTATTTATTATATTTCAGTACTCTGCAACTTCTTTTACCACACGATATTTCGGAAGAGCTGTTTACTACATTAGCAGGAATGGTACCCAATGTTTTTCGTGTTGCTAATCCTAAAATTCTAGTAGATAATCATAAGTAATATTTCTTAGACTATGGTAAATATTAATCACATGCATTAAGCAGACATTACAAATACAAAAACAAATTTTTTGTTTATCTGCTTCATATAGAAATATTTATACCATATATAATATATAAATGCATTGTAATTAAATTAAGTATATGTATTATTTAATTTTTTCATTAACTTATGTATTATAACTTTAACATTTTGTTCCTTGAATTGTAACAAATATTTTATGAATATGTTGTATGATCTTAGCAATTTTTATATAAAAAATTATATATGTTTTTATGTGTAGTAGATTTAGATGAATGTATGAATACTAACCCACAAAAATTATCTACATCTAGATTTAATATTAACTGTTAAAAGACTTTAGAACATTTGTAATCTGACAAGTATGCTAATCCTAAAAATGTTTAATTGATTTAAAAAATGCCTTTGAACAAGGATGAATTTTTTTTATTTGTTTATTAAGTATGAATGAGTATGTTTATATAAAAAAACACTAGCATTTACTGCAAATAAAATAATGAAATATACCAAGAACGTACTGGGTTGTTATTGTTGTAACCTCTATATAAAGTTTTTACATTCGTTGGTGGTTAATCCCACACTAACTATTTTGCTATCAAGTGGCGAATTTAATATTGGGTTATTATTGACGGTGGACATCTTTAAGTGTAATATATACGTATTAGATCTGATGCAAAATACACACGCCACTGCTTGTATTGCATTACTAGGAGCCAAGGAGTTTGTTGTTGTCGCCCGCCGGGATCTGAAAAGCAGATAACATGTAAGGATTACAAGACAAATACATGGGTAGAGGAGTAGAAGGGTGGGGTTAAAGTCAAGAAGATAATGGGAGGGGAATAATGGGAAGGATATAATTGAAACCAACCAGGGTTCAGCAGTAGAAACCTAGCTACCCCAAAGGGATAAGCCCAAATGTCGATTGGGCTTAAATTAGCGTGTGCAGTGGAATAAGAGAACAGATGAACGACGAGCCAATGAGGTGAAATTCTGTAGTAAATCCACTGCTTCGAATTTTGTGTAGTGATGGGATGAATTTTTCGCTAAATGGATATCATATTCGACACTATACATAAACTCTGTAGTAAATCCACTGCTTCGAATTTTGTGTAGTGATGGAATGAATTTTTCGCTAAATGGATATCATATTCGACACTACACATAAACATTCAATAAGTTTTGGATAGCTATGTGTACACAAGTCATTACATATTAAAGCAAAAGTGTCAAGAGGATGTTATCATTTAGAATAGAGACTTATCTCAAAGTCTCTATTGGTACCATAAATCGGGTAGGTCTGCATCATAATTCTTTAGTTTTTCTGACCTCATGTGACTTAACAGAAACACATTTTATTTATTTTTTGTATTCATGCATTTAATGTAATTTTATTAAGTTCATTTGTGGTTTATTTATATTATATTATTATTTTTGAAATTTCAATCAAATAAATTTTAACACACTCAGAATTGCTGTAAATTTCCTGTATCAGTTATAAGTTTTTTTTAAGATTTTTCTTTAAGAACTCTTAATTTTAAATTAATTTTTGAACTCATTTAAATCTACTTTCTATTCTTTCACTTTAATAGTTTTATCCTTTGTTTCGTATATATTCCTGCATAACTTTGTAAATTGTAAATACATTTATTATTTAAATATTTTTTATATAATTTAATTTGAATTTTTTTTTTCAATTTTTCTGTTTTTTTTCCTCAGTAAGATCTTGATAACAATTAATTTAGTTTTGCCTTCAGTTAATAATGTTCTAACATATTTTACTTATCAACTAATATCTTTTCACTTTTTGTTAGAATTAATATATGTAAAATGTTACGATTTGATGAATATTTTAATAAAAATAAATACTGTTTTGCGATTTTTACTTCGTTTTTAAAATAGAGGTAAAAATGTGATTAGTTTGTTCAGTTTTTCGTATTATTCTTGACTATAATTTTGCAGAATTTAATAATTTTGAATATGTGTGCTTCAAAAAATATTTGCGATTTTTAAATTAAACTTGTTTAGTTCATTTTTCCGAAATATTGTATATAAATAATTGTGTGAAGTTTAATTTTAATTAAAAATTACATACATATATCTTAATAAAGTCTACACTTAGAAGAATTATAGAAAAAACAATTAGACAAGTGATAACAAACAATTAAATGAAAAAATAATTACATTTTTAATTTAAAAAGAATAGTTTTAAAAAATTAATGTATTAAAAATTTTAGTTTAAAGTGAATTCATAAAAGTTTAAAAAACATTTAATGAAGATTTCTTACTTCAACCTTAATAGGAAGTCACTCCAGGATTAATAACTCTTAAAAACAATTTGAATTATTCTCAAAAAAATTTTTTTTTTGAAAATCAAAAATGAAGCTTTTAAATCAGGATTAATAACTCTGAAAAACATTTTGTATTAATCTCAAAACTTTGTTTTAATTAAATATCAAAAATGAAGCTTTTAGATCAGGATTAATAATTTTGAAAAACATTTTGAATTAATCTCAAAACTTTGTTTTAATTAAATATCAAAAATGAAGCTTTTAGATCAGGATTAATAATTTTGAAAAACATTTTGAATTAGTCTTCCAAAATCTTTTTTAAATATCAAAAATGAAGCTTTAAAATCGGGATTAATAATTCTTAAAAACATTTTGTATTAATCTTAAAAATTTGTTTTTAATTAAATATTAAAAATGAAGCTCTTCGATTTATAAAATAATATATAAAAACATTTCATTACATGGAAAGCATTTTAATACTTCTGTATTTAAAACACACATTTTTTAAAGTTGTAAATAATTCAAAATAAAACAAGATTTTTATAAAAAATAATTTAGATTTATGTTAACTAAACCTAAATATCTAACGTAATATTTATAAATGAAAGAGCAAATAAAAATTTTGTTTGCAGTTCTAATAACAGCGATTAGACTAGACTTGTAGAATAATAAAAAAGCACAACTCAAATTAATATTAAATAATTATGTCTTCTTTTGTGTTTTGTTTATTTGGGTTCATTGTCGTATTTTGATATAAAGAAAAATTAAAAAAAAAATTTGAATAATTAAAACAATATTATTTCCAAATACCACTAAAGTTGGTTATTTCGCGATATCTAAAACAGCTATATGGTCAGCCCAAGGTTTCATTCGGATAATAATTAATTACTTTACTATTCACTTTGACTATTCTTATCAAAGCATAAAAAAATCTTTATTAAAAAACAAAAAAAATGTTGACACAATATTTCATTTAAAATCAAAAATAAAATGTTTTGAATTCAGTTTTATTTGTTATGTAGCTATGTGTTTGCATATAAGTGTTTTACAGTGTATAATTCTATATGTACGAAAAGGTATAAATATAATAATTATAATTTTAGTACATAAATTTTTAAATATATTATTTAATATAATTAAATTAAATAATTTAGTGTTAACATTAGTATTATTATAAGTAAGTATGTATACTGGTATATTATAAAATAAATTATATTATATTAGCATAAGGGTCAGTACTTTAATTAACATAATTAAGAATTATAAAATTTTTCTTAAATATGAAAAAATTTTTAACTAAAAACTAAATTTAAATTAATAAATATTTAATTATAAAATATTTTTTTTTTACTTATTGGATATAATTGAACAAAGTATCAAACATTCAATTTAAATTAAGATCTATATTGCCTAAAAGTTTCAATTATTTTTTTTATTATTTATTTATTCTGGCCGTTAATAAATATAATTTTTTATTTTTAAATTTTAATTATTTAATTAATGAATACAAATTATTAAAATTTAATTAATTTTGTGTGCTGTTTTATTTATTTGCATGATTTTAATGCATTTCTTTTTGTGTGATTAAGTTTTGTGGTTTGGTTTTTTAACTTATTAAAGTTTGGTCTTTTTCTAATTATTATATATTAATATAATTTTTAATAATTTAATTTAATATTCTTTTGCAACTGGTTTTGTTATTAAATAAAAATACTTTTTTTTAATATTTCATGTAAACTGTTACAATGTTAATACCATTAAGTCATTTGAAAGCGATTCCTTCGACATAAATTATAAGGTACATTAAAAATTAACTATAATTAAAATCACAAATAAAAAATAGTAAATAAAAAATTAATACAATACACATAAACAATACAATACATACACATAAAGGTAAAATTATAACAAATACAATAATACAATAATTAAATTTAATACAATAACTAAACAAATAAAATTGTTTTAAAACCAAACAATTAACATTAAAAAAAAATTAATTAAATGAAAATGATAGCATAAAGAAAACATATTTACATATAAAATTTAAAATTACATTTGACTTTCTTTACGCCATTGAAATGTTCCCGATTTTACGCCAATACTTGAAGACCCCTGATTACTATTTGAAGATAGCATATTATTGGTTCGTCGAATCAATTGTGCTGCTGAATCAAACCGACTACGAATAAGACGCATTGCTGGATTTGTAGTAATGCCGCTACGTTTATTTTTGCTAAAAAATTCAATATAGTAAATAAAATAATATTTTTGAAAAATAAAAATAATTACCTTGATGAACTTGACTGATTCTCTTTAAGATTTCCCAAGATTATGCGCATGTGTGTGTCACGCGCGAAGTGATTATCTGGTAAAACAGACTTGCCACCTGAATTGCTGCTGGTTGCACCAATTGCGTTGCTATGATTACTGCCAGAAGCCCCAGCAATCTCATCAAAAACATTTATTGATGGTAACTGACCTGGTGAACTTAGCTCACTACTGGGTGAGTGTGGAGGTGTAGCATATAAAGGCGACATGCATTCCATGTCGTAGAGATCAGCTTCATTTGTTCCTATATTTGAAGCTATAATATAAAAGAAAAGTTTATTTAATCGCAAAAGACGTAATTGATTTTGAAGCCCATTTAAATAGAGTTTAAATAAGCAATGACTAAAAAAAATATATAAATGACTTCTGCTAAACGAGCATTCAACAGACCTAATGGTAAACTATAGATATAGTAGATACCAGAACATGTGGATAATTAGTAAGTCTTATAGCCATATAGTTCTCATATGTTTATATTAGATATGTTCATATGCTCAGTTTAGTTGAATTACTTACCCAAATGATGCTCATTTAAATTGGGTAACATCTGCGAATGTCTTTGAGAGTGGTGTCCATGTGCACCTTTATGCGCTGCTGAAGCACTATTTTTAGCATTGATGATTGGTGCATTTTGCACAAAAGGATTATTGCGAGAGTTTAATTTAGTTTGACGTTGCAATTGCTGTGTAAATGTGAGCGGTTGTTGCTAAAAATGTAAAGAATATTTACTTTGTAACTTGAAGATAATTGCGCTTAAAAATACACTTACATCATTGCTACTACCGGTGGATTGACTAGAAATTACACTTTTGCGCTTATGTAAACTGCTCGTATCCGATTGCATCGTATTCTGATAGAAATTATTTGAACTATGTGTAGAGCTCGAAGCATTCAACAGACTTGGTGGTTGCATGCTATTATTATTGTTGTTGATATTGTTTACTGTTGCCGTTGTTGCTGCGGAACATACCGATGATGAAGAATTATGTGGTGGAAATGGTACTGCGCCAATGCCAAGGTTCTGATGTGCCGGCAAAGATGGTGGTTGATCCGGTGAACGTAGCATATTTGCATGGAATTTTGGTTCCATAGAGCTATTAGCTTCAACTGTTTATATAAATAGTTAATGAATAGTTAGTCAAAGTTTAGCAATTAGAATTTATCTACAATAAAACTTTCTTACCTTTAGTATAGGTTTCAAAAATTTTTAATATATTTGAGCGATTTGACTTAGCTGCTAATTTAATAGGGGTGCGTCCACAATGATCAGATTTATAGGGATTCGCACCATATTTAAGCAAAGCAATAACACATTTATCATGTCCTTCCTGCGCCGAAATGCCTAAGGCGGTAGCGCCTTGTTTACAGGCGTGATCAGCCATAGCTCCAAAATATAATAAAATATTGATAACATCATGATTTCCCTGCCAAGCGCATGAGTGCAAAGGGGTACGTGCTTCCAAGTCCATGGCATTTACATCAGCATTACCTAGAACAAAAAAAGTTTTAATAAGTTTGTATTATATGAATAGTTATATTTACCTAATGTGATAAGTAGCTTAACCATTTCAGTGTGTCCTTGCCAAGCTGCCACATGCAGAGCGGTACGACCTTCGCTGTCGGGTATGTTCACATCCACATTAGTCATCTCCAACAAATACTTAACTATATCAAGTTTATTTTCAAGGGCCAATATATAGAGTGTAGTGCGAGAATCAGCATCAGTAGAGTTAACATCGCAACAGAATTTCAATAAATACTGTAGAGTATCGAGGTGGCCTTCTAAACATGCTAGTCGGAATGCAGTTTTGCCATCATGCGCTTTCTGATCAACAAAAGTTGAGTGAATTTCTAATAACACTTGCACACATTTTGTGCGACCTTCCTGAGCAGCGAGATGCAAAGCAGTTTTGCCTTCGTTGTCACACTCATCAATTTTAGCACCCGATTCAAGTAATTGCAAGCAAACTTCATGAAAACCTTCGAAAGCAGAGTAATGTAAGGGAGTCCAACCTGCATTATCTCGATGCGTCTCATCAAGCCCACGATCCAGTAATTGTCGTACAGTCTCCACATTACCCTGTGCAGCTGCAATACTCAATACGGTTCGTCCCTCTGAATCCATGCAATCAATACCACAACCCCAGAACAGCAAAAGTTTTACTACATTAGCATGACCAGCTGTACATGCGGCCCACAATGGTGTGCGACCCATAAAATCAGCAAGATCGGGATCGGCACCATTTTCCAAAAGTAACTCACACACCTCAGCATTACCCTCAAAAGAGCTCACCAATAACGGTGACATGCCGTCATTATCAAGTTGATCCGTATTGGCACCATGTTCCAGTAAAGTCGAAATAACTTTACTATAACCGGATGAGCCACAAAGTGCTGCTACACAGAGTGCGCTACGACCATCCAAATCCAAATGATTTACATCTGCACCATTTTCTAATAATATTTCCACAATATCATAGTGACCCATATAAGACGCCGCTATTAATGATGTGCGCCCTTGCCTATCAACAGAATTCACATCAGCACCTGACTCTATTAGTATTTTAAGTATGTCTTCATGACCACTCCAAGCAGCTGCACGTAAAGCAGTACGCCCTTCTTTATCTGCTAAGTCAATTTTGCAAGATGGCTGCAATATGAGTAACTTAACCACTTCAGTATGACCACCCCAAGACGCAGAACGTAATGGCGTCCATCCATCACGATCAGCGTGATTTACATCTATGCGTCGCATACGCCCGGTGCCATCATTACAGGGTTGTGTAAAATTTAAGAGTAACTTTACTACATCTAAATGGCCATTACGTGCGGCTATGTTTAAAGCAGTTTGACCATTATAATCTTCAATTTCAAGATCTATAGGACCTTTACAGGCATTTAATGCGCGCTCCAAGAGTTGATGATTACCATCGTTTGCAAGTATGTGTACAAGCGCTTTACCCTTGTGCAACTCGATGCGATTAGAATCAGAAAGTTGATGTAAAGCGCTTGAAGTATTTTCATCCTGACTTTCATTGGGTGGTTCACTTTTCTCTGATGGACTAGTAGGTCGTTGTGTCTCCAGCATGCACGATTTTTCACTTGAAATCAATAGATCAGCTAATTCGAAGTCAATATTTTGCGATTTTTCTGACAGTTCTGGAGACATAAGAGATGACTCACACGAATTCTGAAAAAAGACATGTTTGTTAATTAAACTCAATATCGTAAGAGATATAAAACAATATTGTATATAATAAAATACTATATATAACTGTGCATTTTATCAAATTAAGGGATTAATATAGTATGTGAATTCCTTGTGATTGAAAAAAAAAATTATTCTCTACGAACAGTTACAGCACGGTTCAATTATTCCTGCTTTTTTTAAAAAGTTGGAATAAGTAGCTATTACTGTGTAGGTCAGTTCTCATACTTTTTGAAATCCATAAGAGATATTCTACAAACCATATATAAATTGGAACTACTAATATTTATATAGCATCTGTGTTATATATTGTATAATGACTTATAATTATAATAATATGTCATACCTGTGATTCTGCATTGTTGATTCCAGTTTCAATTAACAACTTCAGAATTTTTGCATCAGTGGGAAGATTCGGTTTAAAGAAGTCACACAAGAACTGTGAAAATTCATCAGTTAGTTTACTAGTTAAAAATTTCTCGACCATTGCGCGGGTCTTGGGTAGAAAATTTGGATCATTTTTAAAATCATTTTCACAAAGCGAACAGCAGTTTAGTTGGTTAGTGTAAAAGCAATCGTTCAAGTTTAAACGTGATTCCAAAAGCATTAAAATCATGTCCAGACTCACATTACGATTAGTCAAGTACTCTCCTGACTTTATAAGATGATACACAAATTTACGCACATTATTGGCGCAAAGCGTATCAGCTACAAGTAAATAATACATTGAGATTATAACGTGACCCTCGTTGACGTCACAAATAAATTTCTTTGTAGCGAATTTTACATCCACCAACCAATCTGAAAATGAATTGTGAAAGATTTTAAGACGCGTCTGTTCGGTATCGTAGGCGAGTATGTTCTTCATCAAATGTAGGCGTTTCTCAAATTCATCTGTGTCAATCGTATAGTTATGTGTGCGTAGGCAATTAAATAGAAACAACTTGTCCACGTAGCCAGAGGAAGCTAGTAACACATTAAGTAATGGTCGTATTTTCATGTATTGCTTCTTATTGAAAGACTTCTGACATATGTACAAATAGAGACCATTCAGAGTACATGGAATTAATTTGATTTCACGGAAGCTGAAGAAATTTTCTTTGATACCATTTAGTACCTTTTCCAAGTACAATATACAACCGTTTGATTTAATATAGAGTTGATGCAATGATTCAATTATTTCTTTGGTTAGCATTATGCTATCCTTGAAATCCGAATTTAGACGATTAATAATGTACTCCTGTACATCTTTAACCACGTGTGACTTACGTAGATCATCAAGTGTTATTTTCTTAAATCCGGTAAACATTTTAGTTATTTGTTTGGTTTGCTTTTTGGTAGTACATACTAGGAACAACCATTTCGGAAATAGATGTATGTGATTCGATAACAGTTCAGCTACATTTCTGCTCTTGTGGTGCGTTGTTGTACCACGTCCACCTTTTAGAGTTGAAATCAAATTACCTTCATTGATATAATTCTCATCTATTGAATCTATCAAAAGGAGTAATGCAGCTTTGGGTGGTGTTAGTTCTAATAATGGGAACAATAAGGCCTTCTTAAAGCATTCGTCAGGATTTTTCTCTATATTATCCACATTTAAACATTCAAATATTTCAGGATTTGATAGTAACATTTCGTAATAGCCATCAGCAATAACAGTACGACAGCTCTTTGGTTTTGGTAGCGGTGGTGGTAATGTGTTTGTGTTTGATGATTCTATAGGGTGTCGATATTTCTCGGTATCAGTTTTAATAGATGCAGTAATATCTGTATTTTGTGCAGCATTCGGGCTTTTATCGAAATCAATTAAATTCTCTGTCAATTCTTTAGTTTTTTCATTCGTTGCTTCTTTTTCTTTGTAATCATTAAATATATCTTTTTCAGCCTCTGGTTTATCTTCGTTGTCTTCGCGTTCGTTTGTTTCTTTGGATATTGTTTCTTTTTCTTCATCGGCATTATCATCGTTAATTGCTGCTTCTATTTCACTCTTAAGTTCTTCACTTACAAAATCGGCAATATCTTCACCTCCTCCTTGTTGTATAGCATTGCCTGAGTTAGTAGGAGTAGCTACTACTTTCACTGGAGATGCCACTGCAGTTGGCCGTCCTAGTTTTACTGGTATTTTAGATTTTTTCCCTGGACTACACTTATTTGAAGTTGATGGCGATTCTTTCTCTTTATCTTTTTCTTTACCTTTTTCTCTTTCTTTTTCAATATCTTCTTTATGTGCTTTCTCTGTGTCGTTGTCCTTATCTTCACTTGGTTCTCTTGTGCTATTTTTGGGTGGATGTGTGCCATAATTATATTTTTTTATTTCTTCAATCGGTGTAGTTAGTTTTGCATCACCAGCCGGTTCAGATTTTTGACGAACTATACCTATATTTGATTTGTGGCTGGTTGAGGTACGCCTTTCATTAAAGTTCGTAATGCCATTCTCATAATCCGCAGCGCCACGTTTTAACTCTGCAATAAGTATTTCCTCTGCATTTTCATCTAAAGATATGTTATTCATAGCCTCGTCTAATTTTGATTCTTGTTGTTGTGCTTCTTCTTGCAGAAATGATAAGCCCTCATCAATAATTCTTTGATTATCTTCTTTAGTTATCATCGAGGAATGGCTGAGTATTTGTAGTACTATTTTGCGTATAAATAGTGATAAACTATGGCAATCTGGATTTTGGGATTCAATAAGATAACATGCAAGTAGCTTACGATTTAAAATGCCTTTTGTGCCTGAATTTCCATTCATAATTGCTTGGCATATAGACGTTTTGCCTGAACCATTAGAACCCAAAACAAGACAACCATTGTAAGAAGAGCTTGAAATCGCTGAAGCTTTTGCTCGGCTAGACATGAATCCGCCACTTAAAGCTTCAGTCTTAACACCACCTGCAGCACCGAGTAAGCCGGGCATTGATTTTTTACCTGCTGTACGTTGTTCCAAACACACGGCAATCTTCTTTAGTACCCACTCTCGGTGTATATAGACTGTGGCGTTGCAGCGTATTGTACTTTGAATGCTATGAGTGCCATTTGCCACAAGACCATTAACTTCTTTGTCAGGTGATGCCTTCTTTTGCATAAACACTTCCAAATTTTCTGTGGTCCCTTCAAGTGGAGCTGTTACAATTTCTGTATTTGCAGTGGCATTCGTTTCATTTTGAGGAGTAAAATTGGTAGCTATAACTCGTTCATTACCATGTGTCGATTCTATTGGAAAGTTTTGTTGAACTAAGTTGGCGAAGTGTTCCTCACGTGCCAAATTGGAAAAACTAGCATTTGGACAGTCTCGTCCAGAAATTTCTAATTTCTTTTGTAACTGTGTTGTGTCTTTTAAAAAGTTAAGTATACGTCTATCTTCCAATTGATGATTAGGTGTGCCCGTACTTGGTAGCGGTGGTAATGATGATGGTTGTTTCGTGTACCCTGTACTACCGACCAAAGCACTCGATGAGCAACCTTCAACTGTATTATCGTCGTCTTCATCTAAATCTGTAACTGGTATGGTGTTGCCATTACGAGTGCACATGCGATTTGTATCCTTGGAGTTGAGTGGTTTGTATTCCATTAAATTTGATAATTTCGCATCATTACTAGCAGATGAATCATGTTGAGTTACGCGTCCTTGTGAGCTATTATACCGACTACGCTCACCGCTTTTATAGCGATCTGATTTGCGTAAGGGCGTAGCGTAGAGCATTTCTTTGGGAATATTGCTGACTGCGTAGTGTTTATTGCTTTGTTGCTGCTGCGGTGACTGCTGTTGGTGTTGGTGATGATGTTGATGCTGATGCTGCTTGTTGTTTGGTGTTGAATTTGAATTAGAATTGGAATTTATGTGCACATTCTGATTGCTGATATTATTCAGCAACAATTGCTGGGAAATTACATTATTCGCCATATTGTTGCCAGCTGTTTGTGCGGTTTTCTGTTGTTGTATTTTCCGTACGGACTCATTGTACATGGCCTGGCAAGGCAAATTTTCGTATATGTCATTGCGTAAATTATCATTATCAGGATGTTTGGACATTTTTGTGCTTTAAAAATTATAAATAACAGCAGACTTCAGTGGAAGTTCAAAAAATTGTTCTCCTGTTGACACTTTACGTTTTTCCTTTAAAATTTATGATTCTGATCTTTAGGTTACTTATATCATATATATATCATGTCAAAGTGTGGACAAGTGTTGTGCGTTCCTGAAAATATTCAAAAAAAATAAATTAATTAGTAAAATCTTTTATCATGTAAAAAATATACACTCATAATAAGTTTATCATTTTTGAAAGAATAACAAATATTTTTTTAATAATTTCGTTTTCATCATTATTTCTTTATATTCTCATAGAATTTAGTAAAATTTCCCCACATCCTGCAAACAATTGACCTTATTTTCGCTTAAAAATTACTTCAGTGCCTCTGGTTATAGAGCAGCTCACACATTTTTCCACACTTCTTACTACTTTCCAGCGTGAAAGAACATATATGCAAAGCTGTTCCTTGCTTCATATATTCTGTTTACCTATTTGTAGTTGAGTTTAGTGTGTGTAAAACAACCATTTTCATGTCGTTATCGTCCTTACGTCCTGATTCAATGTTTACTTGACTTTTGCTAGCAAACTAATGATGTGTGAAACGAAACGTATGGTAGGTTTCCAACTATAGTACACTTAAAAAAACTTTTGCAACTCAATACAAACAGTTTAAGTATTGTTTTAACGCTCGAAAATTCATTGAAATTGTTTTTCCTTTAGGAACAAATTTTAGATTTAGGTGGGTTATATATTAAATCACAGATCGCTAAGCAAAAGGGGCTAAGCTGTCTTTAGGATTGAACTTTGAAGTACTTTGAAGAACAATCTCAAACAGTTCATGTGTGAAATGTCACTTTTTTAAGTTTCTTTTTAACTATAAAAACAGAAAAATGTGTCTCTTACAGAAGGGAATATTTATCAAAAGAATTAAGTAAAATAGTTGATGCGAGAATAGAAGGACGAAAAAGGACCCAAGTAGCTTCGTGGTTTAGAATACATCATTTCAGTGGGGCCACTTGTTGGACGGAGCGCTGTCCCAACGTTCCACCATAAGTATTGATGCGTTAGAGGGAGAAAGAAAGAAAAAAGCAGAAAAACGAAATAAGAGCGAAAAATAGAGAAAAGAAATGAGAGCGAAAAATAGAGACCCGAAATGAGAGAGAGAGAGAACTACTGTAACTCAGTCAAAGGGAGATAGAAAGAATGAAACTAGGTCAGGGATAAGGATAAGATAAGAGATAAAATGATGTGGAAGAAAAAAGAGATAAGAAGTGAAAAAGAGAAAAGGAGAAATAAAGTTAGAACGACAGAGAGAGAGAAAGAGAAAAATTCAAAGAACGAAAGAAAGCGAAAAACGAAATCGGACAAAGGAGAAATAAACAGAGATAGAGTGTGTTTAAGAGATAAAGTGAAAAAGAAAGAGAAATTTAGCTCAAAGTGATAAACAAACACGTTTTGATTTCACAAGAAATATCAATTAGGTAAGACAATCTATTTAAACATTTCTGTAGTGATGTACTGTACCCTACCTATTGTGGTACGTTCAAAAAAAAATCTACCATCTAATTTATAATTTAGGCAGACAGCTATTTGCTAAACTTTACATGGTTTAGTTTAAGTATCCAATTTTTTTTTCTACCAAAAAAAAATGCGACCCCGATCAAAGCTACAGTCATATATGACTATGAGAATATGACTTGAGGTTTCATACATCTTCAAGCACACACAACAGGATGGTGATGATGCGGGTCATGATAACCCGTATTTCTGTATTTGATATCCACACCGCTTTGTATAATGAAGCTATTTGAATCTCTCATGGCTGAGTAGATGAATTTCTTAATTATGCTTACAGTTCAGTTAGTGGTTTCTGGTATCGTCTTAGGTATTAGAAGTTTCGGTGATAATTGACTTTATCTGTTATTATTGTAGACTAGCTAGGTTGGTGCTATTTATATGAAGGAGTTAAATACAGATTTTTTTTGTCTTACATATAGATAGGTAGCGTGATAGTCGACAATTGCAACAGGACTTACCCCATTGAAGTGGCCAGGTTTCTCCGCCTGGATCCAGGATGACGGCCTGGATCCCAACTCTTCTACATCCTTCTTTCCCTCCTCTCCTTTATTTACCTCCCCTAACTTTCATCCTATTTCCCTACTCATGTAATCGTCTTGTGTTTCCTTTATGTTTATCTGCTTACAGGTCCCGGCGGGTTACAACAACAACAACTGCAGCATACATAAACATATTGACCCGTATAACACCGAATCCTATTAAAGGAATCTATCGCTGTTCTCGGCAAAACCAACCACAGAACCTCGTAAAACATCAAAAGAGGGGATTAGTTTGCCTTTTCTAGTATACATATGTGAGTTATGCATAAAGCTGGACAGTCGCAGAGAAATTGCTTAATTACCTCCTACCTTCTCCCTATTCATGTCATGACAACTCCTACAAAAATTGTTTCAGAGAGTATAATGACTTAGTTGCCAGTCAGACAGGAACCTGCTGTCACCAACAGGACGGCAGAATTTTCGTAACTATTTAACTACCAAATAAATAAGTAAATAAATTTATCTAAGTTAACTTCTCAAGTACTTTGAATCTATAAAACTATTACTCGGCTAATTTGGTTTTCATAGTTGGTTACTATTTTTCTTGTAATTTTTCTCCCTGTTTTGGATGCTGCTTTTGCAACGCATAATGCATTCTCTCAAATTCATGCACATCCATTTTAATTATTTCAATATGAAAAGCGCAATTACCTTAATTAAAAGTGGTAAATGCCATGAATTCATGTGCATTTTTAAATTAAAATAGTTTATTTTTAAAATGTAACTAATTTTTTATGGCAGACATTGAAAGCTTTCACTGGCTAAAGCTGACCAAAAATGATTTATGGTGTTGATAAAATGATGCTGAACAGGAAGTAGTTGTTTGCTCATATGGACAGTATCTGTAACAGCAGCTTTGCAACTGTGTATGTATATATGTATATATAGTTGTGGCTTGGACACTGTTTACTATGCAGCACAAAATGTATAAAAAGTTTAATAAATTACCATAATGTGCAACTAACTCAGACGTAAAATCTTATGACTACGTGAATTGGAAGGAAACCAACTAACCAACCAAACAGAGCCAGAATTGAAAGTCAACAACAGAAGCCAAAAGGGCAGAATATATATATATATGAAGGAAAAGAGATAGTGAAAAAAAGATGCACATAACAAGTAAAGTTCAAATTCTTGTTACCCAAAAAAAAAAAAATAAAACCAAAATGGTAAGGTGCATTCGCTCAGTCACTGGCCGACTAACAAACGGAAAATGGAACAGTCAAATGCATTTCCTTTACAGGAAGCAGAAGCTTCGTTGTCAAGTCCTGTGGTAATGCAATTATTGATGATGCTAAAGCTGCTATGAATATCAAACGATGTAAACCTAACGACTGTCGTGGTGTAACTTTGTTGTTGACTACTGAATTTGCATGGGTGTATTATGGGAAAGGATATCACCGAGTATCCATGAGTTCCTTTATTTGTTATTGGGGTGTGATGTAATCATATGTGTGGTTTACTTTTCAACCATTTTCAATACGATTCAAATAATTTTATTTTAAATATTTTTGTTATTGTAATGGCTCTGTGAGCTTGATAAATTGTAGGACAATACTGTATGCATAAGTGAAAAGGATGCACTGTGGCGACTAAAAACTGATAACGAATAAATTGCAAAAGTTGGAGTTGCAATGCGTCCATAATGTAATGATGAACGTAACTTGTGAGTGTCTGCGGGCAAGAAATATATTATCAAATGATATATGCAAATGATTGCACTGTGAAATGCAAATGCATTATTAAAAATTTTTTATTTTATACAGATAAATAAATTTCCATGTGTTCCAGAGAGATTTTTGCTTCAGGAAAAGATTATTTTCTAATTTTCGTGTGTGTAAATCCTTCAATGTTTAGTCAAAACTTATGGAAGTGAATATTTTTTGTGTGATTTTGTGCTTTGAAATATTTTTTGAGTCTGCTTGAGTAATTTTATTTTACATTCCTTGATTTATGGTCTTAGCAATCGTCCGTCTTGCAAATATTCTTAGGATTTACTTTGAAATATCAAAGCTTCATCATTTACTCGTTAGAGTTTTCATTAAAAATATTGAGAAAAGAAATTCTCAATAATAATTTCTTTGTGAAAGAAATATTACATATAGAAATTGAGTAGAAATACATTTTACATACTTATAATAATATGTTTTATAATGAATAAAAATGATTAAAAATTTAAGTAAATGTTAGAATAAATTTTTTTTGTGGTGTCCGGTAAGTAACGAAAAGTACAGTGTGGGACTTGAACCCAGTAAAACCATCTCTTAAAATCTTGATCTTGAAAATATCCTAGCTATCAAACTGTAAAAGATTTCGAGCGGAAATTGCATTCCAGTAATCAAGAGATAAAGAGTTGTATTTGAATTTCCAAATTTATAATGTTAAAAACATTAATTTTTGAAAACTATTTTAATTAATGTAGTTACCTAAAACTTTATAGAATCCTATTCTTTATTATTTTAAAAAAAATATATATATAAGGTTTAATGGAATGTACCATATATAGGGTAATAGTCGTTGGGACCACATGTGATGAGACATAAACATTGTTTTTTCAATTTGTTTTGTCTCTTCATCTGTGATCCCAATAACTACTCTTCTACATATATTTCATCAAATTTAATCTCCTGCTCTCCTACATATATTCCATCAAATTAAATATATATATATTTTTTAAAATACGAGGGCAGTTTGATAAGTCAGTGACTTTTTGAATAAAACAAATTTTTCGATATATTTAGTCCAGCGTTTTTCTAATTTTCTTATTCCCTCCAAATAATAGGTTTTCTCAAAGCTCTCAAAATACGCGTTTATATCGGTAATGACTTCTTCATTCGACTCAAATCTCTTACCATCCAGCCATTTCTTTAGGTTTAGAAACAGAAAATAGTCGCAGGGGGCTAAATCTGGAGAATATGTTGGATGGGGTAGCAGTTCGTATCCCAATTCGTGGATTTGGTATCGTAATGCTTAATCAGCGCACGAGATTCACGGCTATCAAACAACAACTGAACGACGTAGCTTGCTCAAAATTAGAAAGTTGTCCAC